TCGCGAACATGATAGGAACAGAGAAGGTAAGGCGACAGGAGGCGAGGGCGATAGAGGCGAAGAAGAGACCGGGCGGGGGAGACGAGCAGGCAAATCAGAAGAACGCCGAGAAGAAGCGGAAGGCGAAGGATAGAGTGCGCAAAATCTCCAATAGGGAAAAACACAAGCTCAGAGTGGGGTCGTGGAACGTGTGCGGGTTCGCAAGGAGTGAGCGCAAGCGGTTGGAAATAGTGGACCAAGTAGAACAAAGCGATCTGGATGTAGTGGGGATCCAAGAGACGTGGGAACTGAAGGATGGGGACGTGGTAAGCAAAATAGGGAAGTACCGATGGGTAGGGAAGGCAAGAAAGGGCTTAGACCCGAAGAAAAGGGGGGAGGGGGGAGTCGGATTCCTGGTCAAGGAACACTTGTTTGACGTGGTGGAAGTAGTGGTGAAAACGGAGTTCGAGGAAAGCCTATGGCTTAAGATACCTGGGGAGCGGGGTGAGAAAGATTTGTTTCTAGGGAACGTATACGTCCCACCGTCGTCGAAGAAAGTCGCAAGCAAGGCGCAGGAGAACTTCGGACAGATTGGGGAAGATGTCCAGAGGTTCAGTAGGAAGGGAGAAGTTGTCATGGTGGGCGATTTCAACTCCAGAGTAGGGAAAGCTTGCAGTAGAGGACAGGCGATCGGGCAGCACGGAGAAGACAAAGTGAATGACAACGGAGTGAGGATGCTTGAATTCTTGGGAAGCAACGAGCTGATGGTGTTGAAAGGTAGGAGGGAAAGCGATAAGCCAGAGTTCACCAGGCAGAGGGCAGTTTGCAATGAATACTCGATCCTCGACTACATCCTGGTAGATAGGGGGAGCACACAGGTCCCGGAGCTGCACGTAAGTGCGATAGATATAGGCTCGACCGACCATTTCCCCATATGGGCAAACATCGACCGATCTAGAAAGACGGAGAGTAAGAAAAAGAGGAAAGTGTTCCGGTGGAAAGTAGAGCGTTTGGGAGACGAGGGGACACGCGATGAATTCCAGAAGGGATTGGCTGGTAATGTAGAACCCTTCAGGAAACTGCTGAGAAGCGTCGAAGACGGAAAGGTAGACGTACAGGCAGCAGGGGACAGGGTGATTGAAGGATGGGAGTCCATAGTGAACACAACGGCAGAGAGAGTAGTGGGAAAAAAGGTGGTACGATGTGGGGTATCGGTTAAGTGGTGGGGTGACGAGCTGAAAGAAGAAATAGGGGAACGTAGAGAAGTCTTCAAGCAGTACCTGGGTGAGGGGTCTGAAGAGAGTTGGGAAAAGTACAGGGCCAAGAGGAAACAGGTGAAGGGACTAGTGAAAAAGAAGAAAAAGAGCATTTGGGACGAGATAGTGCAGAAGGCCAACGGAGGCCTGGAGGGGAACGTCAAGCAGATGTGGGAAGGGATTAGTGGGATGGTAAAAAAGAC